CATTAATAAATAAAAAGTATAATTTATATGCTAGGTGTAGAAAATTGAATCAAAGAAGCCATCTAGGAAGAAAAAAACAAGTGGAAATTATAAGCACCGTAGACATTATATAATTATATAAATAATCACTCCAAATATGAAGAGTTTAAGTAAAACAATTAAAAGGCACATGTCTTAGTAGATTTGTGTAACATAGTATTTCAGTGAATTTTTTTTAATAGATGTCCAAGGCACCTATTGGCCAGCAGTACTAAAATCAGATGGAGATTTTTGTGTGTGTTTTTTTTAAAATAAAAATTCTGTGTGCTTACCAGACTAACCATTTGAGAATTACCACAATTACTCTCTGCTGAGGTAAAGACAAACGAAGGCAGGCACATATCCCAATGACCTCGTGCTAAGTTATCAGAGAAACCCCAAGCACGCCTGAGAGTTAAGCCAATTAAAATGCCCTATGTGGAAAAAGATGTCAGAAAGGTCAGCCAAACTTGGAGACAAGCAGCACTTCAAGTCACATTTCCCTAACGTAACTCACGGCCATCATGTTAATCCCAACTCATAAAAACCCTATTAGACTGGAGAGAAATGCCGCTGTGCGTTTCCAAGACTGTGAATCTTACAGGAGCAGGAAGCCGAGTCTCTCTCCAAGTGCCTTGTGGGTTCAAACTGCACTCAGTGTTTATCTACTGTGCCATCAGGCTCCCTAAAGACCACACAGTGGTGTGAACATGCAAATCCTGTAAGAAACTGCTTACTTTAGTAAGCACAAGATCTAAAATGTCCTTAAATTTCTGTTTTGCTTTGTGTTTGGTTTTTCAGAAAGCTTGGGCCCAAGGTTGCTCACTAAAGGCCCCAGGAAACAGGAAACATATATGACATCGCATAAGTTTTAACATATAACACCAGAGTCCATTGCAAATACAATCCACTGTGGAGAATAATCACATGAGCATCCTATGAACAAAGCCCAGCCTATTCCAAGAAGACCCCACTTTCCCCTAATTTTAATGACTAAGCGGGGGTACCCCTCCAAAATGGAATTTATTTTCATAGCTATTTATTTAAATTTTTTTTACAAAGAAACATTATCACCTTCAAAGTACTCTCTTTTACACTTAATATCTTTGTCAAATCTGCAATTTCATTCTTGTAACCATTTTTCAAACTCAACTGTTTGGATGGCTGACAGCCCCTCCCACATTTTTTTCTTCACCTTTTCAATGTTGTCAAATCGCTGTCCGTTTGTGTCCCTCTGCATTCACAGTAATAAACAGCTGAAGAGAGTCAGATCAGATGAGTAAGGTATGAGGGGCATGAGAGGCATGCTGAGTTTTGCCCAAAACTGGCACACTGAGATGGCTGCATGAGCAGGTACATTGTCCTGGTGACAAAACCATTCCCCCATCTGCCACAAATCAGACCTTTTTGGGCACACACTGTTATGCTACCATTTCAGAACTTATAAATAGAAAGCTTGATTAACAGTCTGACCTGGTGGAACAAACGCCAAATACAGTACAAGTGAATATTTTTATCCGTTCGGGAAGTTCATAGATGTCCAGAATGAAGTTTGTCATCAATCAACATTTCACCTTTTTGGAAACCAGAAAACCACTCATACACTTGAGTCTTTCTCATAGCACTGTCTTTGTAAGCTATATTCAACATCACAACAGTTTCTACACTGTTTTTCCCAAGCAGGAAACAAAATTTCACAACCACACACTGTTCTCTTAAATTGACCATCACAAAAAAAATGAGGTTCAAGCAAAACTGCTTTAATGAAACAATTCATTGTGACCAGAGGGAACCTTCTCACCTTCCCAGGCAACACCACTGGGTGCACTAACTCACAGTGAGTTGCTGGATGCTCACCTAACAGGAAAAATGCATTCTACTAAAGATCTGTGCAGCAGAACTTTTTCTGTTGTGTTTTTTTTGGGGGGTGGGTGGGTGGGTTACTCCTCATATGTATAACCTCATTGTTGCACCTTTGGGGGATTAAAAAATGTCCCAGCTTTCATGAGAAAAGAGTAGTTTAGCCCCTCCTAGTCTGGACCAGCTGGCTTCTTCTCTATAATACTTTGCTTAGGTAGAAATGCTGAGCCTCTCCCAGCCATTCTTGGCCCGTAGAAGGCAAGAACTGACTTTCATAGAGTGAACCTGGGGACAGTGAGGCCTCTCACAACAAAACATTACCATCTTGGTGTCTAAAGAATGGATTTTATAGAAACAGATTGCACAAGATGTCTCTTTATATTCTGTGCACATATTTAGTTCTTGATAACTGTGTGAAAGATGGTTTTCTGTTCATTATTCCCCTTAGCATGCTTCTTGAGGCAAGAATACGTGCTTTAATTTAAAGATATAATTCAGTGATATAAAGTGGGGTTGGTGGCAGAGGGAATCTCCCCCTCCACCCCTCAGCCCCCAATGTCTTTCATTTTAAGCAATTCACTGGAGAAAATCAGAAAAGACTACACAAAAAATGAAGCTAATGCTACATCACAGTTTCCTTTCCTCCAGAGCTTAGTTTAGCAGAGAAGCCAAGTCATGATTTAATATTAAATTGTAAAAGATAGCCCATAATTATAATTTTTAAAATGCAAAAGAAAGAAAATCTCTATTTAGTTCACATTCTGACAACCTATTTCTTTTCTCTCTTTGCATATAGATTTCATAAAAGATTTTGCTATCCATGCTGTCTTTATTTTCCTCCCACACCTCTTTAGTTCTACCCTTAATGCGATTTTGTTTAATCTACTTCTCTGCAACAGAATTGATAAGATAAACAACATGACCTCCAAACTCTTTGTTGAACTAGGGGGTAATTCCTACATATTAAAAATGCATAATAAGCAAAGACAGTGATTGAAAAAAATTCCCAAAGACTTGTGTTGTTTAAGTCTAGTGTAGTTGGGCTAATCTAAGATGGGCAAGGAATAGTAACTCTGCTTATTTAAATTGGGTTCAAGTTTGCCACAATGTGTTCCCATCACCCTGACCCAGCTATAAACCAGAGCATATTTTTTTTAAAGTGACGTTTTCATCAGGGTGAATGACACAAGCAAAAGAGA